ATCGCAATACTTATTTGTAAGTTAAAACAATGTATAAGAGAAGCTAAATTGTGATTGGCTTCACAATTTGTGAAGCTAAAGACTTCAAAATAACCACGTACAATTTGTCGGTGAAAGCCTTTGGCCACCAAAAGTTGTTTCGTAGTGTTTTTTATGAGTTTAAAGATCAATGTTTACCGTGTAGTGTTCTTTCTAAAAAAAGAAGTTTGTAAGTATCGTTCATCATTTGAAGTATTAAACTTAATCGAGTGTACTTCTCTCAACTTCAAGTGCCTAAAACATTTGGCTCACACAAGTTGGCTCGATGCTACCATGAAAAGTGGAATGAATTTGCTTTAATTTATATATATATATATATATATATATATGTATATTGTTCTCGAATCAAGTAATCATTGGTTATTCCATCAAGCGAGAAGAAAGAAAAATGAGGAACATGTTTGGTTTTTATCTCGAGGATTTGAAGGAGTTGGAGTATGGATGGGAAAAAAACTTATAACCTAATGGACTCGAGCAACTCGATCTATTTTATATTTTCAAAAATCGAATTTGATTAAAACGGACTAGTTATTTAATTATTATTATTTTGTTAAATAGACATATATATAATATATAATTTTAAAAGTTTTTGTGAGTGAATATATTTATGAAATTAAAAATAAAAAAATGAATTTAATTAAATATTAAATATATTAAATTATGATTAATTTTATTTATTAAATAATTATAATTTATGAATGGAATAAAAATATAAGACAATGGAAATATATATATATATATATATATAACCATTTTTTTTTCAAATTATCTGGTGAAGATAAATTTTTCTTGCAGATTTGGCAGTTAGGTGCATAAATGGACAACATTGAAATAACAGGAATCTAACCAGGAGAATATGATTTTGATCTTAAACTGAGTCTGTTTGTTCTTGTTTTTGTTTTTGTTTTCCTTTTCTTTTTCCCCCCCCAACTCTCTTCCTTTCATCTCTTGATTCGACAGAGAGGGAAAACAGAAATGGCGATGCTTCTGCAACCCGCCCAACTCTTTACTTCATCCCTTTCAAGTTCTTCTGCAAATTCTAACTTACCCTTTTTGAGTAATCGCCAAATTCCCCCTCAATTTTTGTCGTTACTCTCTCACTCCAACTTAACAGTACCCGGCAAGTTTGAGCATTTACTTCTTTTCATGTTTGTTTTGGCTTTTGCCCGTCGATTATCTGGGATTGTTTTTTAAAAAGAAAATGATTTTTGGGTGTTGTTTCAGATCATAAAGTTTATTGGAGGAGAAAGCACAAAAGTCCTGTATATAAGATTCATTGCTCTACTAAAGTTGATAATGTATGTCAGATTGAACTTCACTCTACTTTATGTGGGTTTGCTTTTGTTCACTCCTTTCAGCAGCTTATTCTGTTAATGAAAAGAACTGGATTTGCTTTTTTTTTTTTGTCTTTTCTTTTCTGGGTTTGAATTATTTTAATTACTTTTTCTCTCTCTCTCTCTTGATTTCATGTTATTCGTTTTACAGAGCTCAGTAATTGTGAAAGAGAAAAGCGTTTCAGTCATTCTTCTGGCTGGAGGAACGGGCAAGAGAATGGGTGTAAGTCTTCTTTTTTTACCCTTTGAGGTTTGAAATTATGGCGCATTCTTGATGGAATATAGTATAAACCAATAAATTGCATACTTTCTGTGGATTGGATTGGAGTTATTGAGCTAAACTTAATTTTTTTAGACAGAGAAACTTAAAAATTTTTCATTTGGAAAAATATTTGTGAGGGTTGTGATTGAAAATGGATTGGACTAGATTTTATCAGTTTTAGCTTTTTGGATGATTGGTCGCGGAATTTATGCGTTCGCATTCTGGGTTTATGGGAATTAGCCATAGTAGCTTTTCTTTTTTGTGAATGTAAGCCATAGTAGCTTTTAAATATGCTTCCAAAATACTATGTGAAATTCATTGCAATAATTCCAGTCCTCAAGGGTGATCTTGTTCACACACGTCATTTCTCTGCTGGAGAATAAAGTTTTCGTATTTGAACCTTTTTCCTTATTTTTATTGGTTGAAAGTGGAGAGTGGTTGAGGGTCTTTCATTTTGTTATCTTCTTTTTATTTTTTTTTGCTTTATTTGTTCTGCTCCTGCAAAATTCCAAGGGATAATAGCTGGATGTCCTTAAAGCATGAGGTTGTTATTAATCTCAGCAGATTAAACATTCTTAGACTTCTTAGAGAATGTAGGAGATAGGTTTAAGTCTTCTCTGGACTTTAATAAGCCATCCTACAGTAGATATTGTATGCACTTAAAGATATTTGACAACAAATTGACTCACTGTTGGTTTCAAGTGATAGGTACTTGCAACTAAATTTTCTTTTTCCTAAATGTTTGGTGGTCTTGTATGTTTGTGTTTGTATTTTGATGTTATAAGCAAATATAGATGCATGCACATACATTCCCTTTTCTTTTATGTGCATAAGTTTCCATTTCTTTTTTCCTATGGTTTCCCATTTTCATATTCCATATGATGGTTTTGTTATTTTGTGCAATAGGCGAGCATGCCAAAGCAGTACCTACCACTTCTAGGCCAACCAATTGCCTTGTATAGGTAAACAAGCTGCAAGTCATATGAAATACCCAGTTTCATCACATAATGTATTTTCATAAACTGGCCAAATTATGTTTACAACCATATAAGGGCTTTTGTATTTCTATCAATAGTATGCACTCTCATGAAAATCGTCTAGAAACAACTGCATAGTTCACGAAGTTTAGTTTGTTAATTGACTATAGTATAATTAGTTATTACTTTCTCAAAACCTGCTATTCACTCGTGATTCTGCCTTGATTGGGCATGTTCAATGTACAATTACTGTACCAGCTTTCATGTGGTCATGACCAATCTACTATATGCTTGGTGCTTGGTTGATATCATATGTAGTTATGCACCCATGCTTCCTTGGTTTTGCACCCTTATCGATTGATGGATTTGTGGTTGATTCTTCCCATTGCAAAACCAACCCATGTGTGATCTATGTTTCAGTGCCTCTGATACAGGCAGTAGTTCCACGTCACTCCACTTCATGGCAAAGAGACCCACCTTTATAGAACATGTCCAATGTAAGATGATAAGACTATTAAACATGCTATCAGACTGTGGGAACCAACTTATTACTTACTTGATGCTGAAGAATTCATGTGTTTAAGAAGATTCCTTGCATGAGCACCAGCATATGCATTTGTTGGGCATCAAGAGGCCTGCTTGGCAGGCCACATGCAATCTGTTACTAACCTGGTAGCTGCTCAGTCCTTGTGGTTAGAAACACTATGCAAAATTCTTTGTGAAATAAGATAAGAGATTGTCTGGTTAGGAAGACCAAATATAAAATAATTATTTGTTACTGTAATATGCCAAAGGTGATTCACAAATTGAGTTGTCTTATATATTAATTTTCTTGGTTCCAAGATATTCTAGGTAAGAGTTAACTGTAGGTTTCTCAATTCAAGCAGTGTTTGGATCTGTCTACAGTTGAATTTGGCTGTTTCAGTTCATTCTGCTCGTCTCCTTTTACTTTTTTTTTTTGCATAAATAGTTATATGTGTTCCTTTTTGGCAGTCTTTACACCTTCTCACGCATGGTTGAAGTGAAGGAAATTGTTGTTGTTTGTGATCCATCCTACAAAGATGTGTTTGAAGGTTTGATATCTCTAACTTCTCTCTGTTCTCTCTTCCTTTCTCTTCTCCAGCTTCTTCTTCCCGTGTATGCAAGCTCATATGTGTTTATTTGTGCATTGATGGTTCATGAATGCATGTGCATACTTGTGCTTGGAGTTGGGTGTTGCGTGTCTGTTCGTACACGCATGTTCGAGTGCACGTGCTCTGTATAGTTGGTTTCCATTTCATACTTGAATTTATGTGTTGGCTGCTTTTGAGCTTCTTGTTTCTAGTTCTACAGAAAATATTTAAACTTATTGATTAGCTTTTTCCCAGACACCAAGGAGAAGATCAATGTGGATCTCAAATTCGCTCTGCCTGGGAAGGAGAGACAAGATTCTGTGTACAGTGGACTTCAGGTGCATGCTGAGTGTTCTAAATTAAGCAAGCCTTGATTTGTTCTTTTTTTGCATCACTGATCAGATTTCTTGTGGCACATTTTTTAGTGGGGAATTTATCAGGTTGTACTATCCAAGTCATGTTAGTCATTCTCATTCACGATGTTCTCCATCTGTTCTGTAGCTGTTATATTTCAAGAGAAACAGTTAGCTTAAATCAATGGGCAGGAAGGAGCACAGAAAATTTTTATTAATTTACCAGGATTTTGCAATGCCATCAGTATAGACACTTGGCAAAGAAGCACAGGAAGATTTGTTTGGATATACACTTAGGAAGAGGCATTGAGCCTATCTCCATGTGTTTTTTATGTATTCATGAAATTGGTTTCTTAATCTAATTTATCAGAATAATTTTCTTTCTTTTCTAGTTGTATTTTGCATTTTCAGAGTAATTTTTTTTTATCAAAGTATGGTACTTTTGAGTTATACATTGTGGAATGCCATGCCACAAATATTTGGTGTGAAATACTGTCAGTTGTGTTCTACTGCTGATAATAGCATTCTTCTGTTAGAATTATATTTTTCCTTTCTTCTACAGGAAGTCGATTCGAACTCTGAGCTTGTTTGCATTCATGATTCTGCAAGGCCTTTGGTGTTATCTGGAGATGTAGAAAAGGTTCGGACAGTAAATCCCTTTGTATACACACATCTTGTGCATGGTTGAGGTTGCTTTATGAATTGAACAAAGCAAGCCTCGTGGATACTGGAAATGTTTATTTTGAATTGAATTATGAATTAAGGATTAGAATAAGAGAACTCTTGGGGTTTCCACCAGTGTTTACCAGTTATTTGTTTATGGTGCATACTAATTTTTGGATATGTTTGTGCCGATGATCTTCAGTGGGCCATTCATTTAAAAGCACTATTTAAATATTATCAAATTCAATGGCATTTTAATCAATTTGTCCCTTCTCTCTTGATTTTTGACACTTTTGCTCGTCCTATACGGTACTACATGGTAGTTTGATTGTATTTTGTGGATATTGTTGCAGCTATCTCTTGTACTCATATGCACATTCAAATTATTTTTTTAAAGTGTTTTTATCTTCTTCTTCAGAAAAAAGAAAAAAAAAACTCATGTTTCTATGTATTGTCTGCTTTCGTATGGCGCTTGTTCACATACTGTAACCTTTCAGATGAACAAAACAGAACATTTCTCAAAAGATCTCTATATTGTCAATCAACACTTCAGCTTTTGTGACAAAGTCATGTAGTTGGCATATTCTAATAAACTCTGCAAATCAGTTTTTTTTTGAGTGCTTGCTAAATTTACATAAAAATTCATACGAACAGGTCTCTGAACCTATCATCAACTGATTTATTAGGTTGCAGATGCTAATCGTGTTCTATGTGATAAGCTTTATCCTCAAGTCTTTTCCTCTTCTTGTCTTTTCTATTTCTCTAAGTAGTTTTCACTACTTCAGCCCATTTATATTTGATTTGGAAGCAAGAAGGTAACATGGTGTATCAACTACTTGCTGTTAGGTCCTAAAAGATGGCTGGCTTATTGGGGCAGCTGTGCTTGGTGTCCCAGTCAAAGCTACAATCAAAGAGGTATTTGCTGATTTATGGCTAGTACTTGTGGGCTTTTTTTGAGTAATAAAAGTACCAACATAGCTAATGTCTGTCTCTGCAAAACTTAATCTCCATATTATTATTGGTAATTGTAGCCTGTAGGTCTTTATGCTATTTGGACTTTACCTCGTTCTTCTGTCTATTCTTTTTCTCTTTAAGATTGAAAGCACTATAAGTAGTATTTTCAGCAGCACTTTCAAGGTAGCTAACTGTAATCTGTCAACATGACCCTGGCAATGGAAGTCTACTTCTATATGGGCATGCAGTAATGATCAGATGCTGTGACATTCTTACTTAGAGAACCTGTACTCTTGGAGCATCTTTCTGCTTAAAGGATAAGCAATGAGCTTGAATCTTGGACACTAACTTGCAGTGACAACATTCCATTGATGAACTTTTGCATCTTTGCCTTGTCATGGTTATGGTCCGTATCATAGGTGATGTAAAATGGTTTTTTAAATTGCCTAAATAGACTAGCAATTATAATTCTATTAAATATAAAATTATTCTACTATTTAGGATTGTACTATTATAGTTTTAGTAATTTTGGAGTCTCATTGTTTTCGGTATTTAATTTTCCAATTTGTACTATTATTATTATTTCCTAATCTGATTAGTATTAGTAGTCTAATTCTATTAAGCAAAAGAAAACTTATGAAATATTATAAATATCTTTATAAATTCCCTTTTGAGGCGGATCTCGGTTTTTCAATAAAACACTGTTAGAGTTTCTCAATTTTTTAGTCGTGTGAAACTTCTTATATCTGATGTCTAAAAAATCTTGGCTATGATGTGTATGTTCTTACCCTAGAATCAATAAGAAGCAAAATAGCTCTAACTTGTCCTGCAATAATAGAAACTTGTTGTGGAATCAATTGGTATAAGCTTATTAAGAGAGAACTCAAATATCTCCTAGGGCTTGAAATTGAAAGGACTCAGAAAACTATTCTGAAATTATTTTTCTGCTTAACTTCTATATTCCTTGCATAGTTGGAGTTGGTTTTATACATAGACTAGAAAGTAACTGTTATCTGAAGATCGGAAACTGGCTATCCATTAAGAAAACCAAGCAAGAGAAATTCAAACATTACAAACTACCTATCTGAACTTCCTACCTTATCTGTCACTAACAGAATATATAGCCATGCCATATAGTAATATAATAAAAGAGAACATGACATGACTAATCGAACATTTAGCAGTTAACAGCCCATCCCTTAATTCTTCTTCCTCTGGTAGACTTTGTCAAATGGCTCAATATATGGGGCTTAAAACAGTCATTTGCAGCTTAACAATCTGGTTGTAACTCCGCCACTTCACCTGTTAAATGTGCATTTATCACATTTTATTGGAACTATTTATTTTTTAGAATAATATACAGAAGAATTATTCCTTATTTATAGATGTAATGGCATGTCGTAGCTTCAATCAGAACTTAATTGAATTTAAAATGAAGAATTTCAAGCCCTTCTGCTCACTTATTACATCAACATTTCCATCACCTAATGAAGTTTGGATTGTGTAATATATTTCTCAGTTAACCTTATTTTTTGTGAAACCCCTTCCCTAATTCATTGCAGGCAAACAGTGAATCTTTTGTAGTGAAAACTCTGGACCGGAAGACTCTTTGGGAAATGCAGACTCCACAGGTTAGTAATTGAAAGAGATTAACGTTACGCTGTTCATTTATTGATTCTGCTAAGAACTTCTGTTCGGGTAACATCCAGCTGATTTTTTTTTACAGGTGATTAAGCCTGAGTTGCTTAAAAAAGGTTTTGAGCTTGTGAATAGGTACTTCATGTATACATATTTCTGTTCAAACTGCTGATGGCACTCATTATAATGGTTACGAATGCTGTCGATGCTAATTTGAACTTATCTACCTCAGCATGAGTATATATGTTCTTGAGTGGAAGTCCATTGTACCTGCATA